GATGAGCTTTAATCGTACATTTATTCCATATTCCTGAATCACTGATTCTTCCATTTGTACCTACATCTACATATATGAATCTGAGATGTGCATCGACGATAGCCAACAACACAACAGAAAAACTATCTTTGTAATTATAGTATAAAGATCCTGACTGTAATGGTGGATCAATTTTAAAGTGTTTGCCATCCATGGCTCCAATACAATTATAGAAATTCCATCGCTGGCCAAAGTCGTTAGCTACTACCTTCCATTCATTCTCACATGATGGCATTTTGAGATATTCCTCTCGTAGTACATAAAAAATAGCGACACATACTTCTTTAATTATACCAGAAATGGTACTCTGACCAATTTGATATGTCAGACGAAGAGATTCTTGAGAATCGCCTAAAAGCAAAATATTTTAGATATTTTTGTTTACATTTGCATGCAGTACTATATATACAATCACTCAATGAGTACTCAATGAATCAATAAATTTAATTGGTGTATTTTTACGTTTATCTAAAACCTAAACATATACACTAATTAAATCCATTATCCATTGTGTGCTCACTGATCAATTGTAATACTGGATGCATCCATTATTAATGTGCTACGTATTTCATATCAATAAATTCGAAAAGATACCTGTTGCTAGATGTCGCAGAGTTAAAGACAGTCTTTCAGCAGGTGAAATGCTTTCTCTTAATATCGTATTCTGCTTTTGAATTAAAGGAGTAACTTTGTTTAAGAGATCTTCAAATAAAGCAGTATTCATGCGAAGGCATCTGGAACATAGATATTTGAGATATGTAATATAAATAAACATAAATAAAATACAAATGAAAAATAAATGAAATATATATAAAAAATTTATTGTATGAAAAAGGATTAAAGAAAACTTTCTTAATCGTGCGTATATATCATCATGCAGCACCTTTAAGTTGTTTTACATTAAACAATATAATAATATGAATAATATAAATATAAATATGAATAATATGAATCAATCATATATATCTTCACTGTATTTTTTACCGTCTAAATCTTTCAGGATCTTCAAAAGCTAATTCCGTGAAAAGGTTACGATGCATTCCTCTTTCTTTCCTTTTTAATAAATATGGATGTGACCATGTAAAACGGTTTCTTTCCTTTATTTTCTTCTCCTCTTCAATAATTAATAAAAGCAAAAAAGCAATAGCTTTTTTTTGCGTATATTTGCACATATTATTGCTCTACGAGACATTGAGTCTGTTCTTTATAGCTGAACTGAGCTGAACTGACCGCGTTAGTTCAGTAAGCCACTTCCACCAAACTCGACTAATTTGCAATGATTAATACTAAAAGTTTCAACAATATAATTTTCATAGATAAATTTTGAAATTTTGATGCTGTTGATTATCTTACGTCTTGAGTGTAATCTCAACTTCAATCTCAATCTTTCTTCTTCTTCTTCTTCAGTTGAATGGCTCCGGGCCCGATTGTACTGGCCCACTCGGCCAAGTCGATGTATGATGAAGACAGTGTTCCTGCAGAGATTGTGTCGAGTTATATCCTCAGATATTCAGGTTGCATTTTTTAAAGAAAGAGGCCAAGCATGAGATGATTCCAGCAGAGGGTATTGAGAGGAGGTCAAATGCGTCAAAGGGGTGAGGCTTCTTCGTTTTTTCCTCCAATTTCTTGAGCAGATAAGGTCTATGGTCTTGGTTTCTTCAGTTGAATGGCTCCGGGCCCGATTGTACTGGCCCACTCGGCCAAGTCAATGTATAATGAAGACAGTGTTTCTGCAGAGATTGTGTCAAGTTATATCCTCAGATATTCAGGTTGCATTTTTTAAAGAAAGAGGCCAAGCATGAGATGATTCCAGCAGAGGGTATTGAGAGGAGTTCAAATGCGTCAAAGGGGGGAGGTTTCTTAGTTTTTTCCTCCAATTTCTTGAGCAGGTAAGGTCTATGGTCTTGGTGTCTGGGGCAGATCCATAGAGTGTGGTTTATGTCCTGTGATGGGTGACCGCATTCGCATGCAGGCGAGGATATGATGTTACAGCGATATAGACTGGCGTGTAGGTTGTAGTGGTTGCTTCTGATTCGGCATGCCGTGACTATTTCCTCGCGGTCAAGGCCGAGCTTTAGGAACCAAGGCCTGGGAGAGAAGGAAGGATGCTGGTTGAAGTATAGTTTGTCTTTGAGATTGGATTGAGCGGTTAGAGTGCGGTTAGATGAAGAGATGTAGTGGGTGCGAGCCAAGGAGTAAAAATCGCTGTGTGGAATGAGTTCCGAGACTGGTTCCCCCGTGTGGATGGCTCTTTTGGCGAGAAAGTCGGCAGTTTCATTCCTGAATGACTAGGGATCCAAATTATAGAAATATTGCAGTTCGAAAGTTTGGCTGTTCTGAGTCTTTCCTTGATTTCGTAAATTAGGTAGTTTAGGTCTCTCAGGGGTTTTACAGAAGATAAAATTTCGACTAAATTTCGAGAGTCGGTGAAAATAGAAGAGTCTGCTATTTTGTTATCGAGCATATAGTCGAGACATTTAAGCATAGCTAAAGTCTCTCCAGTGAAAATAGAGGCTTGGCCGTCGATTCTAAATTGTCGGCTAGTGTGGGGGGAGTAGGTGTAGAATGCAAAACCGACATAGTTCTGGGAGTCTATTTTGGAAGCGTCCGTGAAAAAGCATTTCCTGCCGCAAATGAGATGATTATAGGTAGCCATAAATATTAGTTGCGGAATGGGAGCCTGCTTGATTTCATCGACGGTAGCCGGGGGAGTAATGTGGATGTCTGCAATGGCGAAATTGGATTCGTATTCGTGATTATACATAGGCAGTAGGTCAAAAGAGGCGATTTTAGATTTGTAGGATTTGAATTTGAGGAAAGTTGGGTACGGGATGAAATTAGTCGATATGTCGAACTTGTGGTTATTTATTAATCTGATTTGGAGGTCAAAAAGCTTGTCGATAACCAGGTTGTCGTTGGAGGCAAAGCTTTTTAGTATGAATTTCGCAGCTAAGAAGACTAGTCTGAATCTGAGTGGACCGATGCCAGATTCCGAGAGTAGAACGTTTGAAGGGGTCGATTGTCTTAGGCCAAGGCTTATCCGGATAGCCTGTCTTTGGATTTTTTCAAGTTTTTCCAATTGGGTGAAATTATTAATACGAATGAATGGAAAGCTATACTCTATCGAGCCTCTGATCAAGGATTTGTAAATGTTGAGGAGCGAGCTGGGGTTGGCACCCCACCAGACACCTCGCAGTGATTTGAGTACGTTTAGGAGTTTGGTACATTTTTTTGACAAGTATTCTATATGCAGCTTGCCTTGGAGCTTTGAAACCATGATAATACCGAGAAATCTGTGAGACGTGGAAGATGTGACCACCGAGTCTAAAAGGTTGATTGAATGGGGATGTGAACTTTTTCTACGTCTGGAAAAGACGATTAGGGCTGACTTAGAAGGAGATATCGCTAGGCCTTTAGAGTCCAGGTGGGCAGCGAGCTTGTTTACAGCTATTTCGAGAGTCCTAAGAGACTGGACAATGTTTTGGGATCTAGAAAAGATAGCTATGTCATCGGCGAATTGGACAATTTCACATTTTTTGCCGATAATTTTTTGGCATTTTGAAATGTAGATGTTAAAGAGAAGGGGGCTTAGGATTGAGCCCTGGGGGACGCCCTTGTAGGAGTAGAAAGAGTTAGAAATTTCACCATTTATAACAAATTGTAGTTTCCTTCGGTGTATGAGATTGTATATAAATTGGCACAGTTTCGGAGGGAGGCCAAGTTCAATTAAGTCGTCCGTCAGGATGTTTGGAATGACGTTATCGAAGGCTCCGACGATGTCTAAAAACAAGCAGGCTGTGGGTTGGTTAAGGGCGAAACCTGTGTAAATATCGGAGAGGAGAATGCCGAAATTATCATGGCAGGATTTTCTTTTTCTAAATCCGAATTGTCTTGACGGAAGCAAATTCTGGAGAGGAGAATCCCGAGGTTATCGTGGCAGGATCTTCTTTTTCTAAATCCGAACTGTCTTGACGGAAGCAAGTTCTTTTTTTTAATCCACCATTCTAGGCGGAAGTAGATGAGTTTCTCCATGAGTTTTAGAAGGCAAGAAGTGAGAGAAATTGGTCTGTATCTTCCCGGGGAGTTTTTTGGGATTAAGAAGACAATAGAGTGTTGCCAAGACTCAGGAAATGTTCCTTCAGTAAATAGGTTGTTGAAAATGTTTAGCAAGACAGGTAAGTATTGTTCTGGCAAAATGGAGATCATTTTATAGTCGATTTGGTCCATGCCTGGTGAAGATTTTGTTTTGAGGTTTTTTATGTGCCCGATGAGTTCAGGTAAAGTAAAAGGATTGTCGAACATATTGCAAGATGCACATTTTCCATAATTGTTGGAGAGGAGTATGTTCGTTAATGGTGCTGCAGAAACTTCTCCATCCCCTTCTCTTTGCTGATCTTAGAGTGCGTTTGGCTATTGCTTCTAATTTCTTTAAGTTTAGGTAGTTGGAGAAAGAAGGGTTTTTTCTGTATGAGCTTGTAGCCATTTTGCGATTAGAAACCGCCGTTTCACATTCGTCGTCCCACCATGGGGCAGGGAGAGTGGAGCGCTTAGAAGTCGGTTTTTGGTGATTGGATTGATGTAGTCGGGGATGGAGAGGAACTTGCTTCTTAAGATGGGAAACAAAGTTTTCATATGATTCTAAAGCGGATGGAGCGTTGGAGATAGAGTCCAGAAGAGAGGGATAGTTTTGAATAAGGTTCGAAACGAATTGAGCTTGATCTGTTTTTTTCATTTTTTTTGTGGGAAAAGAAAGTGCGTCTTTTGACTGCACAATTTACTGCAATGGAGATGGGGAAGTGGTCGCTGAAAAAGAGGTCGGAGAGAACAACTGATTCGCACAGACTAAATATTGCGGGTGAAGCGAAAGATAAGTCTATGACTGACTTGGACTGGTTAGGTCGGCAGAGGTAGGTGGGGGAGCCGTCGTTGAGGCAGATGAAGGAATGGTCCAGTGCAGAGGACAGCAAGGCTGCGCCTGAGCTGTCAATGCGGCTAGAGCCCCATTCCGTGTGGTGACTATTAAAGTCTCCAATTAAAAGAGAGGTAGGATAGGAATTGCTGAAGATAAACAGATCGTTCCACTCTGTAGCGCGAAGTGGGGATTGAGGAAATCTATAGATTGAGGTGATTTGAAGGAATTGGTTTCCAATCGGAATGATTATAGATTGACATTCGAGTTTGTTATGGATTTGGAGGCAGTCGTCTAAAGTTTTGAAGGGAATATTTTGTTTGATGGCTAGGGCGAGCCCACCTGAGTTGCGTGAAAGACTGTCTTTTTTAATGATATGAAAATTTTGAAGAGAGAGTACTGAATCTGGGTTGAGCCAGGTTTCAGATAACGCGATGATATCGAATTCGTTTGCAATTGATCTGAGCGAATCAATTTTATTTGAAATAGAGTGGCAGTTCCACTGTAAGATTTTGATGGGAAAGGAGGAATCTAATGCTGCGTTTGTATTAGATTGAGTCATGGGAAGAAGGAAGCGTGGGCGTGGAAGGACAAGAATTTTCAAGATCTTGGAGGATTTTAAATAGGTCATCTTGAATCCCAAAAGTTTTTAGGAGTGGAGAAATTTTTTCTAAGATGGTCTTTATGAGTGGTATCCAAGGGGAGAAGGATGGCTGAAGTTCAGGTGAAGGGGGAAAAAAGTGGGGAAAGCGGGCGTTAAAGGGAGGAGGGGAGTGATTGGTGGAGGAGAGGTCGGGGAAGGGGGATGGGGAGGGGGAGGAGGGGGAGTGGAAGGCGATGCCGTTAGGATATGATGGGAGACGGCCATCCGGGGAGATCAAGAGGGAGTTTGGAGGGAAGCGTTGATTGGTGCTGGAGGAGGAGGGGTTACGGTTCTGGTTACGGTTACGATTATATTGTTTTGAATATAGAGGGGAGGGAGAAAGAAGAAGAGAGGGGGAAGTTTTGTTGGTAGCAGGGTGAGGATGCGAAGGTGAGAAGGAGGGCGAAGAGGGGGAACCGTTGTTAGAAGAAGAAGAGTGGTATGGGTTGTGGGGTATCGTTTGCAAGTTTTTTACAACGTTTGCATATGATTGCGGGGAAAGAGGGGGAGGGGATGAGTGATATGAGGAATTGGTTTACAAGGTGTCTGGGGTAGGAGAGTTACTAAGCTCAAGGAAATTTGAGAAGTCGATATGGTTAGATCTTCTGGTGTTGTTTCCGCGGATGGTGTTTTTTGCTTCTAGGATAGGAATGTTTTTGTATGCGGCAAGTTCGAGAATTTGTTTTTGTAAGAGCCATTCAGGACAGGAAGGATCGTTTGTCTTGTGAGGGCCTTTGCAGTTGATGCAAGATGGAGGTTGGTTTATGTTTTGGCAAGGAGAGGTATTGTCGTGGGATTTATCCCCACAGTGGATACAACGAGGCTGTCCTCTGCACTGGGACTTTATGTGTCCATATCGATAACAGGAGTAGCAGAGAGAAGGCTTGGAGATCAAGAGAGAAACTTCATATCTGACCATATACAAGTAGAGGAACTGCGGAACTGTCTGACCTTCAAAAGTAATTGCGATAGATTTGGAGGGTGAGTAGCTCACCGATCTTGTGGATGGATCAATAATCTTTCTGCTGAGCCTCCGCACGGAGATGATCCCAACCGAGCTGTCAATTTCTTCCTTAATAGTATTTTCAGCGAGGTCTAGTGGTACATTTCTTATTACTCCTTGTCTCGATACTCTGTAAGAAGGAATATAGGCGATTAGGTTATTTGAATTGAGAATTGGATTATTGATTATATTGTTTGCCGCCTCCCGCGATTTAAATTGTACTGATACTTTAGAGAAGCCTAGTTTCTTGATTTCTGTTATATCCTTTTTAAGAGTGGAACTGAGAAAACGGCCCACTGTGAGAGGGTGGATGGAAGAGTTGATTGATCCTATGGACGTAACAACAATTTCATAAGGTCCTTGTGAAGACTTGGTATATCTGTTTGCTAAGACAGCGTCTGGGATCTGCTTCGAAGCATTGAGCTTTTTTGGAACTGAATTTTCCTCGTCTTGGGTTTTTCGGGATTGTCTCTTGAGGGTAGAGGAACTAGTGTAGCCTTGGTCACTTGCATCTCTTGAGATTTTAGAGGCGGACGAGGAGGGTTCATTATCGACACTATTTTCCTGATTGGACTGTGAAGTGAGAGATTTTTCTTGAGTTGGCTCGGCCTCCATGTCGCTGTCCGGAGACTCGCATGGCAGTGGAGGAACAGAGCTGGCAATCATATTTAGAATTGCTTCTTGCGTTTCAGAATCACTATCGTCCTTGGCGGTAAAGCCTTTTTTTTACGGGTGACCGGCTTCTATCCCGCGGAGGCGGCATGATTTCATTTGATTAGTTAGGTTATGGCGAGAGGTAAAAGCGATGCACTGGGATGATTTGATGCTGAATGCGTCAAAAAACATTGACAAAGAATAACACAGCACAATGCGTTTCGCGAGCGAAAAGATTGAGCAAGATGGCCGGCCCGCACCGGACAAAGGCCCGATGCGTAGCAGACCGATTATTACTTGAAAAACGGTCTCCTGGTTAGACTACGTGGTAAGCGAATACACTGATCGGGAAAGAAGAGCTTTCGATAGAGCTGTTATGCAACAGATCTATTTATAAAAGCGGCAACTCAACACAAAATCGGCACAAACCAGAGAACGCACTCAACTCGAACCGTCTTGCTCGACGTCGCAACCGGAAGTCAATCTCATTCTTTAAATGCATAGATGTAATAATGTATGATAAACTTTAAAAAATAGTAAAAAAAAATCGTTTGGATTTTAACCCCGATCCGCGTCGTGAAAGACGGAGTGTTTTCTCATGATCCACCGCTCACTATTGAAATGGATATCAATGCTATCGGTACTTGTAATATATTTACGTAAGATTATGTGAATTCTGGGCCTCGGAGGCGGCGGACTTGCGAGCATAATCGCCTTGCGGCGTTGGTCCGCGTCCGACCGTTGGACCGAGGTTCCCGGCCGCGGGGGCCGACCCGTCCGGTTTATCAGGCGGCTTGGGCGGCGGCTTAGGCCGTTTCGGCTCGTCGGAGCTATCGGATAGTTTACCAAAAAGCGCTTCAATGTCTGTCTTGCGGCTCATCTCGGCGAGTAATACTCTCTCGCTAGACTCACCGGTCTTATATAATATACCAAAGGGTATCTTGCTTACGGGTTTCGGTTTGCGCGATGCGACGCGTGACGGTGGGCGCGTGAACTATTCGGAGCGCGCGGTCGCGCGTGGGCGCCTCGGGCCCAATTATTCGAGTCTCCGTCGAGAAATGGCGCGCGGGTGGCGGTCGCTCCGTTTGCGTCGCGGCACGGAGCCGATGGGTGACGTCGGACATTCGGTCCCGGGGACGATGGGGGATTAGGTCGTGGCAGGGCGGGGCAGTGTGGTCCCGTGGCTGCGCTGTCGTCCTGGTGGTCTTCTGGCTGCTCAGGGTTTCGGAGGGGGGAGGGGGTGTTGACTCCGGATGAGTTGCCGACTCAACGAAGCCGCTGGAGCAACGGTACCGTACGGGGAAGTACGACGGGCGGACGGGCGCCTTGGTGGGACGGGCCCGGTTGACCCGGGGTCGGGCCGGATGGCGGATGGGCCATCCACATCCGACGGAGGTTCTTGGCGGGCGAGGGGTAACCCGGTTTGACCCCCACGGTCAACGCGGCGGAAGGGTGTGTATGGGAGGGCGTTTGGGCGATGGCGGAGTCCTCCGGTGGTTGGTCCTCCTCCACTGGTGGCGCTGGTCGTCGGGGCTCAGTCCTCCGACTGAGGGTGCTCGTTGTCGGTGTCCGGGGCCTGCTTCAAATCTTGCACATGGATGTGCCGGTGCCACTTTCCTCTGGCTTCGCGGAGGTCCACTACGACCGGTGACAGAATCTTCCGGACCTCCAGCGGTCCTATGTATCTGGGTGCCCGCTTGGCGCTGAACGCGCCGCTCTTACTGGAAAGTGGTCGATCCCGCTTCCAGACCTGCTCGCCTATCTGCGGACGTCAGTCGCGTTGCTGCAGATTGTAATGGCGTTCTTGTCGTTGGAACGCGCGAGCTAGGTGAATTCGTACCACCTCAAAGGCCTCTTTGAGCCGCTTCCGGTTTACGTCCGGACTTGGAGCTGGGGCCGGCGGTCTCCGGTCCTCCGGGTGGGGTCGTGCCAATTTGCGCCCGAGTAGAACGTACGCCGGGGTGTATCCGGTGGCCTCGGGCCTCGCGGTGTTGATCGCGAATTGTAGTGCGATGATCCGCTCATCCCAGTTTTTGTGCTGCTTCCCCACGTACTGGGCAATCATGGTCTTTACTGTGCGGTTGGCCCGCTCGACCGGGTTGCACTGAGGTGCATAGACGGGCGACTTGCGATGCGCGATCCCGAAGGCGGCAAGGAGCGTCTTGAATCGCTGGAACGTAAACTGGGTCCCATTATCGGAGACCAGCGTTGTTGGGCACCCGTGCCGGTTGATGAGATGGTGAGTCACGGCACGCGCCAGATTCTCAGCGGTGGCCCGGCGTAGTGGGACCATTTCTAGCCACTTGCTGAAGCGGTCTTGGATGGTCAGCAGCCAAGTATGCCCCTTCGTGGATCGGGGTAGCGGTCCGACCAAGTCAACGGCGGCCTGCTGCCAAGGTGCGGTGCAAGCGGTTGCGCGGAGAGTCCCGGCCGGTCGTTGCTGCGAGGCCTTGTGCGCCATGCACGGCCTGGTGGTCGGTCAAGATCGTGAAGCGGTACCCTTCTAGGTACTCGCGCATTTGCCGGATGCCCCAGACGACTGCCAGGCACTCTAACTCGGTAGCGCTGTAGTTACGCTCCGCGGCGTTGAGGGTTCGGCTGGCGTAGGCGATGACTCGCTCTCCCTCGTCAAGGTGCTGGGTCAGCACGGCTCCCAGACCGTGTGCGCTGGCGTCGGTTTGGAGAACAAATGGCCTCGAGAAGTCTGGACAGGCCAGGACCGGTGCGGTGGTCAGAGCTTTCTTTAGCCCTCGAAAAGCGGCTTCCTCGTGGTCCGTCCAGGTCCACTTGACCTTCTTATGTGTCAGCCTGGTGAGGGGCGCGGCGAGGGTAGAAAAGTCGGCAATGAAGCGCCTATACCATGAGGCCACTCCCAGAAATTGGCGCACCTTCTTTACGGTGGTCGGTGCTGGCCAATTCGCGACGGCGCTTGCTTTCTCGGGGTTGGTGCGGATATCCCGGCGGTCGATAACGTGCCCCAGGTAACGGAGGCTCGTCCGGCAAAAGTGACATTTGTCCGGATTGAGGCGGAGCCGTGCTTGGCGTAGGCGGCGAAACACCTCGAATAGGTGCCGTAGGTGATTCTCGAACGTACGGCTAGCGATAATAATATTATCGAGGTACACCAAAACGTGTGGTTCGAGCTCCGGACCGAGTATTGTGTCGAGCAGCCGCTGGAAGGTGGCGGGCGCCGAGTGTAGGCCAAGGTGCGCGAGGGGGGGATTTAAGGCGGGAGGAGGCACGAACCAAGCATCCATCTCTTCCGTGGCAGCGGCACTGTCGTGTCTGTGTAGGGCGTTTACACACTTCCTCAGCCCGACAAATAATTGTTAGAAAACAACATTTGCAGGTCTGAAAAAATATGCGAGGTACAAGTGGCTGAATCGGGAATCGAACCCGGGCGCCGAGTGTAGGCCAAAGGGCATCACCCTGAATTGCATCAGGCCTCGGCCGGGCACGGTGAATGCGGTTGCGGGCCGGCTTGACGGAGTAAGCGGCACTTGCCAATACCCGCTCTTGAGATCGAGCGTGGACAGATATTTGGCTCCACGCAGCTTGTCGAGCGTGGCCGCAATATGAGGCAGCGGATAAGCGTCCTTTTCGGATGCCGCATTTAATTTCCGGTAATCGATGCAGAACCGGTAAGCCCCGTCCTTCTTTCTGACCAGGACGATGGGAGAGCTTCAGGCGCTTGTTGAGGGTTCGATGACTCCCTCCTTTTCCATAGCCCGGACCTCCTGGTCGATAACGGCTTGCATCGCCGGGTTGCGTGGGCGATATCGCTGCTTAATTGCGGGCCCCGGTTTTAGGCGGATGTGGTGTTGTACCCGGTCGGTCGGCCCTTGGATTTGTTCAAATCTTGGCAGCTCGGCCTTTAGAAATGCCTCCAGACGTTGAGTCTCCTCGGATCTCCCTGCGGTGCTGCCGACGGTTATGACTCCCAGGGTGGTCAGGTTGCTGGTCGGTTCTCTCAGCGGTAGCGGCGGTGGCAGCATAATCCGCAACTTGGCCCATAGGTCTATGCCTATTAGCATGGGGCTACTCAAGTTTGGCAGAACGGAGAACAGGTGCCGGATAGTCTCCCCCTGGACGGTGATGGGGAGTGTGAGAACTCTGGTGATGGGGATCCGCGTCCCATCTGCTAAGTTAACGTATTTAGCCACGGTGTCTGGACGACGTGTGCGGATCTTTATGCGATTGACGGTTTCGGCACTGATGAATGAAACCTCCGAACCGGAATCGAGCAGGGCCCGTATTGTTCGGCGCAGTGGTTGCTGTTTCCGCCCTTGGATCGTACTCTTTAGTTGATAGGAGTACTCGCTGGGCAGGTACTGGGCGCGGAAATCTCGACAAAACTCGGCCCATAGGGTCCAGTTATCGCTGCAGTTGCGGTACCACATTAGTGGTTCGCCGCGGAGAAGTTCGGGTAGCCCCAAGAGCAACTGCTCGTCGGTGTAGCTGTATCCTCGTTTCAGCTCGTCGATGCGTTCTAGGAACGCCAACGGGTTCTTCCCGTCGAAGTGGCATCCCCACTTCCGGATTTGATTCATCATCTTCGCCGGATCGGCCGCGGTTGTTCCGGACGCACCGGGGGTGGGGCTTTCGTTCGGTAGTGACATGCAGGCCCTTACTGAGGTGGCGGGTTTAAATTTGAATAGGGTCGGGTTGAGTACCACGAAACGGCGGAGCTTTCGGCGTAGCTCGTCTCTTAACATCTGCACTCGACTCATTTCTCAATCTCCTTATCCTCCAGCAGATCTACGGATTCGCGTAACACACCGCTTCTCGCTCATCTCTGAGTTTTTCTCTTAAGATTCGGGCGATCTTGTCGAGGTCGACTCCCGAACACACTATCGAAAAGATCGAAAAGTGGATGTAGCACGGATATGAACCAAATGACCGACAGTATCGAAAAGTGGATGTAGCACGGACATGAACCGTATGAAGATTTGACCGACAGTACCGAAAAGTGAATGTGGGTAAGGGCCAATTTCACTGCCCTAAGTGTTTCCAATTTCTAAAAGTGGATGCACGGCGCTGCTCTACGGCCTAGAAAACGCGTCCCACGAAAATTGCCAGTATAGACATAGTATATCTAGACCGAGTGCTGAGGAGTGGGAGCCGAGGTGCACGTAGAAAAGGACATACTCTGTTTCGTGCCCCTTGCGTTCTCTCTCACTCGCATGTAGCATAGCAAAAGAGTACGCTATGCTACGTGCGAGCGAGAGAGAACGCAAGGGGCAAGAAACAGAGTGTGTCCTTTTCTACGTGCATCTTTACCCCCACTCCTTAAATAAAGGCAAACGCTCGGTCTAGATATACTATGTCTATGATCGCCGGCATTGCCTCTCTCAGGCTTCTCTCTGCTTAGACCCTCCCCCTCCCCCATTTCGACTGCTGGGAATTTGTTTTTCACCACTCGTTTGGTGATTGATTAGTAACGTTTGCTACCGCATTCAAAATGTTTTTTTGTATAACTAATAATTTTACAT